TAATAATAATAATAATAATGATAATAATAATAAACAATAACACAAGAAATGTTCTTTGTTAATCCAAAGACCTCATTATCTTCATTAGCAACTTTTACCTATTTATCATGATCCATAACTCCATATAATCGATAAACTTACTCATTTTCGGCAATTTTCCTTTTTGCAGATATAGCCAAAACGTGTGCCATGAAGGAGAAAAGCAAAAATGCTGCACGCACGCGTCGTGAAAAGGAGAATACGGAATTTTGTGAATTGGCCAAATTATTGCCGTTGCCGGCGGCGATAACGTCGCAGCTGGACAAGGCGTCCGTCATACGTCTGACCACATCCTATTTGAAAATGCGTCAAGTTTTTCCCGATGGTAAGTGGGCCAACAAGTTGGCCAAGTCGCAGTGTGCCACAGTGCGCACCACCAAATGCCAATTGGTTCAGTTGAATTCATTTGGCTTTTCATCTTGCGCCTTCGCTGTGTGTGAATTACGTCAAATGAGGCATAAGGAATCCTGGTGACAGCCACGCGGCCGACACGCTCATTAAGCTGGCACACACACACACACACAGACACACACAGAGTTAGACAGGACACGGCAGGATACGGCCTTTGTTAATTTAACAACGACGACAAATTTTCAAGTTTAAAAGGCGTTGTTTGCTTAAAGCATATGCTTAAAGGAAAAACCACTCGAACAATGCGCAGACAATAAACAAGCAGGTGGGGGGCGGTGAGTGGGTTGAGGGTGCGGTTGAGGGGGGGGCCGAAGTCGGAAAAACACAATGGCGGCCTGTTGTTTCCACTCAAAGAGCAGCGAGCAACACGAGAGAGCGACGAGACGAGACGAGATGAGACGAGATGAGACGTTCACTGGAAGTGGATGCTCGGTGGTTGGCGCTGGGTGGCACAGCTATCAGTGTGTGTGTGTGTGTGTGGGTGGGTGTGTATGTGTGTGTGTGTGTGAGATTTTGTGCTGACTACGAGGGTTGCACAACAGGCTCAAGTTAAGGGCGTTTGTTGTTGTTGTTGTTGTTGCTGCTGTTGTTCCATTGTGCGCAGCGTTTTGTGCTTTTCTGGTATTTTTTTTCATGCACTGCTTTATTGAAATAATTATTTTAATAATAGGCAACAAACAACGCGCAAGGAAGTGCGCGCACAATGAGACCAGCACAACAACAACAGCAACAACAACAACAACTAAGCACAAGGAGTAGATGACATGAGAATGCAATGCGTATCGTGTATCGCCCGGGCCATATCCCATTCGGGGCGTCAGTTCGTGTGGGCTGTGAATGGGCCACCTACGGCGCTGATGACTTTAATTGGGAATAATATTTAGACGTCAACTGTGTGTGTGTGGGCAGGTTAGCAGCAAGCTGCCGGAGGGGGCAGGGGACAGTTCGTTGTCTCGGCGTGTGGCGGCTGCTGATTTAGTTGACAGCCTCTGCTCAAAAGAGGCCATGGGAAAGTTGGCACAGCCAGGCAACACGATTTCGGGCAGCCGGCAGTAAGTGAAGAATGAGCTGCCAAAAGTTTGGCATTGTGAGAATTTCATTAATATTCAGTTGGAACGGCGACATGGCAAATTTACAGCCTGGCTGTAAATCTAATTTATAAGAGATTTTAATTTGTATAAACTGCTAATAGGGAATCGAGAAGCAGATTGTCTTATGCCATATGGCTAAAATCTGTCGGCGTATAAGACTTCTGTTTTATAAACACATACACCTAATGATCTTTGCTATATGTCCTATATAATCAAATTTACTACATATGTCTTATACTCTTCTTTCGTATATTCATTATCTTTAATAAAATACTATACTACATGTTCTATAGTAGGTCGTATATTATCTAGCTTATACAACATGTATGTCTTATATTATATGGCTTATACTTTTATAGTAGGTCTTATAATACATGCATTACACTACATATGTTATAGTCCTCTTATACTACTTGTCTTGTTTTACATGTCTTATATCAGAGTTCTTATACTACATGTCTTCTTCTACATGTCTTATATCAGAGTTCTTATACCACATGTCTTATCTCACAGTTCTTATAGTATAAGACCTGTGAACTTATATTTCAAATAAAAGATTAGATGTACTTTACTACATATGTACTATATACATATACGTCCGTGACCGTCTTTCCGTGTCTTATACTAGATTCTAATAGTATTATCCGAGACTATAAGTCTTACATTCTTACATTCACTTTCTTATACTGTTGTCTTATACAACCCGTACACACCATATGACTTATATTACCTGTCTTACTTTTCGGGTTTTCTACCACAAGCCTTATACTTCATCTTATGCTACATATTTTAACTAACTGTTTCATACTATGTTTCTTATATTACAATCGTCTGTTTATTTTTTGTTTGCAGGACTCGGTGAAGCCTGGGGCTCCTCGCCTGCGATGCAGCGTGGCGCAACCATCAAGGAGCTGGGCTCGCATCTGCTGCAGACGCTGGACGGCTTCATCTTCGTGGTGGCACCTGATGGCAAAATCATGTACATCTCGGAGACGGCCTCGGTGCATTTGGGTCTCAGTCAGGTGGGTGTTGGGCATCATTTTCCTGATTTATGCGCATAAATTTGAGCTGGCGAATGGCCCTTTCTGGGCCCGGGCTGGCAGCGCCACTTGCATTCGCCATTTGCAAGTCAAGTGGCAGGCATCAAATGGCCCGGAATTTGCATACGCTCGGCTCACTAATTGGCACTCAGCACTCAGGACTCAGGACTGAGCAAGCGAGCAACTGGCATTAATTTCATTCTGATTTCCTTTTCCATTAGGTCGAGCTGACGGGCAACTCCATATTTGAGTACATACATAGCTACGATCAGGATGAGATGAATGCCATATTGTCCTTGCACCCGCACATGCATCAGCATCCAGTGAGTAGACTCTCTTGCCCTCTCTCTCTCTCTCTCTCTCGTCCTCTCTCAATAGCTGCTCTCTCTCTATCGCTGTCTCTATTTGCCTACGTCTGTCTCTGTTACGGTTGACTCATGCCACAGGCTGCCTTTCTCAACTCCCTACAGCTCGCTCAGACGCACACGCCCATTGGCAGCCCGAACGGCGTGCAGCATCCGTCGGCCTATGGCCACGATCGTGGCTCGCACACGATCGAGATCGAGAAGACGTTCTTCCTGCGCATGAAATGTGTTTTGGCCAAGCGTAACGCGGGCCTCACAACCTCCGGCTTTAAGGTGAGCTAAACTTGGTTTACACCTCTTTAAATCTTTGCTAATTGTGGGGTATATTGGCTTCGGCAGGTGATACATTGTTCCGGCTACCTGAAGGCGCGCATTTACCCGGACTGCGGCGATGGCCAGGGCAGTCTGATACAGAATCTCGGCCTGGTTGCCGTCGGTCACTCGCTGCCTTCATCCGCCATCACGGAGATCAAACTGCATCAGAATATGTTCATGTTCCGGGCCAAGCTTGATATGAAGCTCATCTTTTTCGATGCACGGTAAGTAAACTACCAAAATATATCTCGGAAATATCAAATGTGGCATGTAAAAATGTTAGAATGTAGGAATGTAGGAATATGAAGATTGACTTGAGCTCTAAATTAGGGTGTTCATAGCAGCAGCAGAACCTCTTTATTAGGTAATCGTCATATAATACGTAGGAGGGTTCCAGCTCCTTATACTTTCTATCTTGTATACAAATTAAGATGACCGTGCTATCGAAATAATTTCTTCATAAGATAATTCAGCTATAATTAACTATTTATTTTATTTTAGAAATCAATAGGTAAATAATATTTAGGGTGACCATATTAAAACAATATCTTTTCAATGAGACAGTTCTATTATAAAGAGATTATAGATGTTATTGAAGTGGTTCAACAGTTAGTAATTAGGGTGACCATATTAACAGACCTACTGACTAATTGAGAGACCATCTCTTAAAACTGTATTAAATATTGTAATAGTACAGACTGAATAATTTAATATTTTAGAGAATCTTAATGATTAGGGTGACCTCAACAACGCAACAGATCGTATACTTAATTCAGATTAAGAACTAGCTTAGCAAATATTATAGTTAGATCATATGATGAGAAAATTTCATTGTCAGACAGATGAAACATTTCCTAAACACCAAACGAAACCCGATCGTAAAAAATGGAAAAGGGACTTTACCAAAGTAAAGCTTGCGCTCTCTTCGTTGCCAACGCCATAAAAAAGGCTCAATTTCGCTTAGAGCACTAGGAACACTAGACAAATATTTAAACGGGTCGCAACAGAAAAAAAGAAAGGAAACTGTTAAATATATGTGTGTATATAAAAAACAACACAACCCCCCAAAAAGATAACGGCAAAAAAAAGAAGAAAGAAATATAACAAAAAGAAATGACGAAACGCAAGACGAGAATCCCCGCTCTGACAGAAAAGGAAAACAAATCATTTCCCTCTTGAGCTTGATTTTGCTTTGTGTGCGCTGCTCCTCAGCAAATCGAGGGGGAGGTGACTGAATTGTGGGGCGGGGGCGGGGGCGGGGCAGCGTAAGCAGAAGGCGGTTGCCTTTAAGTGCCTTTGCCTTTGCCTCTGCCTTTGCCTTTGCCTATACGAGCAGAACCAGCAAAACCAGCTGCCCTCCAACCAGACCACTTTGTCTGACATTATTGTCACTCAATTACCCTCATGATGTTGCCATGAGGCGCGGCAGCAATGCTTTGTCTCTGTCACTCTCGACATCTCGCTGCCACGCTCTCTGTCTCTCTCTCTCTCGCTCACTCTCTTAGTTGCTCGCCCGGTAGCAGGATGTGGTGCAACCCCAAAGTGTGAAACAGCCCTTTTTTCGCTCTGTGTAAGCTAGCTGTTGTTTTTGCTGCATAATTGAATTGAAGTTGACAAAAGTAAACCGACCAACACACAGCAACAACAACAACGGCATTTGTTTAAATAAAAAAAATGTAAACGAGCAATAATGACGACATTTGAATGCCCTATACAGGCATATCGATTCGCATTTACATTCATTTGTGTGCGTGATAAATAGAAAGAAAATAAATTGGTTTATATGTATTTATACAGTATGTTGCAAAAATATATTTTTACGTTGATATTTATATTGATTAAACATGAAGAAAAGCTCGGTTTGATGTGTATATCTAAAAAATCCGTATAAAAATAAAATATTTTTAAGTTGTTGGTAAAACAATTTTAACTTATTTTAATTTTAACAAAAAATGATTTTTTTTTTTAATTTTTAAATTTTAATTTTTTAAATTAAATTAAATTAAGTACACAACATTTTTTCATTTATAAAAATTCTATTTATTTTTCATTTTTTGCAAATTAAATTAAATTTATTTTAGATTTGTTTAATAAATTTGAAAAATTCTTATTAATTGTTGTATTGTAGGACATGCGAAAATAGATACAAAATATTATATAGTATATGCTAATATATCAATCATCAATAGGAGAAATTTCGTAGCTTGCTTGTCAACATGCTCACACTTCCAGCAAGCGTATAAAAATACAACGAAATCGTTGAGTACATAACCTCAACGGTGCCTGTGTACATAACCTCAACTCTGGTTTATTTTCTCAATTGTTTTTATTGTTTATTTACTTGCAGCGTATCGCAGCTAACCGGCTACGAGCCGCAGGACCTTATCGAGAAGACGCTCTATCAGTACATCCATGCCGCGGACATCATGGCCATGCGCTGCTCCCATCAAATCCGTAAGAAAACAATAACAGTAAAGCCTTGTGCACTAAGCTAACGGTACAACACCTCTCTCTCCCTCACCAATTCTTTAGTGCTGTACAAAGGACAAGTTACCACCAAATATTATCGCTTCCTGACCAAAGGCGGCGGCTGGGTGTGGGTGCAATCGTATGCCACACTGGTGCACAATTCGCGTTCCTCCCGCGAGGTCTTCATCGTGAGCGTCAACTACGTGCTCAGCGAGAGAGAGGTCAAAGACTTGGTGCTCAACGAGATCCAGACGGGCGTCATCAAGCGTGAGCCCATCTCGCCGGCTGCCCAGGCGGCGGCCGTGGCCGCTGCAGCAGCCAGCGTCTCGGCGGCGGCGGTCAACGTCTGTGTTGCAGCACAGCAGCAACAGCCGCTGCCGCTGGCGCAGCCACAGTCGCAGTCGCAGGCCCAGCAGCAACATCCGGCTTCGAGCACACCAACGTTGAGTGTGAGTCCCAAGCTGGATCCGTACTTTGAGCCGGAGCTGCCGCTGGCGGTGCTGCCGCAGCCGCCCAATGCCGTCACGCCCGTCAATGCCAACGCCAGCAACAGCAGCAACAACAACAACAACAACGCCAACAATAATAGCAACAGCAACAGCGTGTGGCATCAGCAACACGCCCAGCTGCACCAGCATTCAGGCAGCATGGATCACGACAGCCTTAGCTACACTCAGCTCTATCCGCCACTCAACGATCTGGTGGTTAGCTCCAGCAGTAGTGCGGGCGGCGGCACTGCGTCTAGCGCCGGCGGCAGCGGCTCCAGTGCATCGGCCTCGTCGTCCGGCGTCTACTCAACGGAAATGCAGTATCCGGACACRACAACGGGCAGCCTCTACTACAACAACAACAATCATTATTACTATGACTATGATGCGACCGTGGACGTGGCCACGTCCATGATGCGTCCCTTCTCGGCCAACTCGAACAGCTGCTCGAGCAGCTCGGAAAGCGATCGCCAGTTGTCCACGGGCAATGCGTCCATTGTGAACGGCACCTCACCCTCACAGACCACGTACAGCGATCTGAGTCACAATTTCGAGCTGAGCTACTTCTCYGACAACAGTTCGCAGCAGCAGCAACAGCAACAACATTTGATGGAGCAACAACATTTGCAGCAGCGATTGCATGTGCAACAGCAGCAACATCCGCAGCAGCAACTGACCCAACAGCAACTCACACAGCAGCAACACGCGCAGCAGCAATACCAGCCGCAGCAGCAACAATATGGCTTGCATCAACAACAGCAACAGCAGCAGCAACAGCAGAGAGTGGTTAGCGACTTTGCTGAAAGCTTTAAGAGCGTCAATGCTGCAGCAGCAACAATTGCTGCCACGCCCCATTACACGAGCGTGATCGTTGAGCCGCAGCACTATATACCGAACGATTTTGTGCATTAGCCTCAGCTGTCGTCGGTCGTTGTTGTCCGTTTTGGAAGAGTCAAATATTGTTGCAATGTTATCGATATATCGAACGCTTCGATATATCGTTTATTTTTAATGCATCTCTGCGTTTTAGTTCAGCTCTAAGCTTTTGCCATTCGTGGCTGAGCCACGCGGCAAAAGCCCTTTTCTCTCTATCTCTTTGGCATTATTTCAACTGCAAGCATCTATTTATTAAATATTATTAATCTTCGACACATTTGTTTGAAACTAAAAATAAAAAACCATTGTTAACAAATGCAAATACAAATTATATATAAACAAAAATTGTAATTATAAGCTCTTAGCTATAAGCTGTTCATACAAATTAACTTATGTACTTACCATATACATATATACATACAACAAATTACTATAATAACAAATATTTATATATGCGTATGTATATAAATATGCGTTAATCTGTAAATAAAGCAAGCAGCGTTCTTCATTTACATAAATATCTGTTATGATGATGATCTTCATAAGTCGCGTAAATAATTGTAAATGTAACAATAATTGTAAACGTAAAATTTTCTAATTTGAATAAACAAATTATTATGTGGGTGAACAATAAAACAAAATCAATTTATTTATCTAAATAAGATATAGGCAATTTTCACTGATAAAATATATGATTAAGTTTAATAAATATCATTTCAATTTATTTATATTTTATTTGCAGAAAGTTACTATAAGTACTTACAGCGGACAAGCTTTCAATTTCAAACATTTTAAAGAACTGTTAACTTCTATTTGTAGTCTGGCAGCCTAATGGTATAAAATGACATATAGATGGCGCCATGTCAGCACTTGATGCACCGGTTCTTACACTTATTCTTAATAATATTCCGTACAATATGACTTTTTTCAGCAGTCTGGCAGCATGATTGTTACTATAACACATAGATGGCGCTGCTACGACTACCGTTTATTTTTAATGAAATGTTTTATTCAAGTCTTAAATTATATATGTAATTTAAAGCTCTGGCACTTATGCCGCATGCCACATTCGCATGATTTCTTTGCTAACTAATTGTAAATTATTTAAATTTTAATTTGGTGCACAAGTTGGAGTCAAACTTGATGTTTAGTTAATTTTGTKTGTTTGTTTGCTTTTGTTTTGGCCATTTTGGCATTTTGGTCAAATGCAAAACAAACATTTTAGCACATGTACGTGTCATTGTGCTGTGTCCTGTGCGTATTGCCTGCTGTCTATGGCCCTATGTGAGTGTCATTGATTTATTGCCGGCTATTTGCGAGCCAGAAAGTAAGCGAGAGAGTAAGAGAGCGATAAAGGAGAAAGAAAGGATGAGAGATATGGTATCTGCAGATAAAAGGGCTGACTGACCTCTTTTGGTAGAGGCTAATTGTCGTTTTTCAATTGCCACAGAGCACAAAAGACGACTTGCTGCAATTTGTGCCTCACTTTGACTTATTGCTAACTTATTTCTGTTAGCATTTGGGAAAACTTTTCTCGCATAGACCGCAAATTATTTAATTGCAATGCTACCAACCACCAACCACCACCCACTTCCCACAAAAAAAAAAAAAAAAAAAAAAAGAAAAAAAGAGCTTGGCTGCTGCTGCCATTGCTCAAGGACTTTGCCTTAATGCAATAATTTAAGTGCAACCAAACCGCAACTTGCAGACTTTCGCCTCAACACAGCTTCGGGGCAACGAAGTCATATTAAAAATGGAAAAGAAGAAGAGAATGAATGCAAAAACAAAACGCTAGGAAAGTGTACTAAAAATAGATGTGGGAGTTGTTTCGGCTCTGGCAATGCTACTCCTCTGTTCAATTGTGTGTCTCAGTGAGTTTGTGTGTGTGTGCGTGCTCTGTGCCTTTTTTTGCTCATTTCTTTTTGGCCTTCTGGCATCGCCGGACAGCAGTGGAAACCGAGATGCACTTTAATAACGAAAGTTGCGCCATTTTGAGTAGCATTCGAGTGCACAATTTCAGAAATGCAAAAACCTAATTTTGGTCTTAAACGCAAGTGCAAGTGCAAAGTATTTTAATTTAAAATTCGTGTCGGACTCTACGTGCCCGGCTGCCCGGTTGGTCGGCTGGTCGCCTGGCCGACGAGTGACGCATTTTAAATAAATGCAGCAGCTGCCCCCAAAAGTTCTCGACTTAAATTAAATACGACAAACTGGCCTTAGATATGGCACATCCATACGTTTCTCAACACGAATCTGCTATGCTACTAAAATAGCCATTAAACATTTTATATGTTTATTTTCTTGTCTCTTGCAAATTGGAGTTAGATATGGCTGCTGCCGCCTGTGTTGCAAAACGTTTAAACTGCATATTTGCTCTAAAAACTCTGTTAACGAGCTGGCAACGCTGTCCTTGTTTTTCTTTCGCCATTTCATTTCTAACGCCAACAATCTCGTTTGTTATGATGCATCGTTTTCTGTTAACATAAAAAGCAAAAGCAACAAAATAAAAACGCCAGCTAAACGTCTGACCCGATATTTGGCTGTTATTTTGCTTCAATCCAAACGCGTTTTTACAAACAGTTTGTTGATTTTTACGAGCACCCCGACAACAACTGTTAACTGGCATTTGCAAATTTCAGTTTTAGTACATATACTAAAAACTTTACATTAACAAATTTCTAAAGCTGCACTAAAAATACAAGTATTGTGAAAAATAATCGTTTCGAGCGAAAATGATTATTTTTAACGTTTTTTGTTATAAAATATAATTATTATTACTTTGTTTTAGACGAATAAATATTTAAAACTTTATTTCTGAATGTATAAAATGTATAAAATAGTAGAATGCCTTTTTTTTTAGTTACTACTAAATATGTATATATTTGGTTTCATATTATAGTCTATTTCTATATACTTAAATAGTTCTTTTTTAAGGAATAAATTGGAAGTAGTCATATTTATGTTCAACATATTTATATATATAGGACTTAGCTAAGTTTGGGTGCGTCAAACGCCTGCTTCCATCTCTAAGTGGACCGCAATGACCAAGGCCGAGAGTCCTGGGCAAAGCTGCTCAAGCATCATTGCGGTTGGGCACGGAAATGGTAAGCGATTTAAATTTTTAATGCTCGCTAGGTTGCAGCAGCAGCAGTAGCAGCAGGTGCTGYAGCTGGACAGGATACGCTGGCAGGATATGCCTGGAGAATGGCACACATTTGGCCAGCTTTTGTGGCTTCCAAATGGAAAATTTTCAAGCCTATTACATAAATGTTTAAGTGGGCAAATAGTTGGCAGCAAAACTGTATTGCTTGCAACGCACTCGCTGTGTGTGTGTGTGTGTGTCCAAGGGTCTGTCCTATTCCCCAGTTCATTGCACGCAGCTGTACACACAAGGGCGCCACCATAGGCGACTAACGTTTGTATTAAAGTGCCTGGGCAGGGATCTAAGTATGTGTAGTTTGCTGGCTGGTCAGCATCTCAAGCATCTCAAGCGAAATGGGGCCAGTTGAAAAGTGCAATTGGCAAATGCTAGAAATAGTTTCAGCCAAAGAAAACGACAAGCCAGAAGAAAAAAGAACAAGAAAAAAAGAAAATGGAGCCACAAAACTTGCAGAAAAGACAACTCTGGTAATTTGTTCTGAGCGGCTTTTGTTTTGTGCGTCCTTTTTGGGGGTAGCCAAACGAGAGGACATTGACAAAGGATGACGACGGACATTCGCTGGCAGCACCAACCTAGGCTGATTGAGTGTGTGTGAGTGTGCGTGCGTGTGTGGGTGGGTGCCAAAAGGCGCTTAGCATCCTTTTCTTGAGCTTTCACTTTTCAATTGACCTTTTCTGACATTTTGCGCATTGCCCAAAATTTATCACTTAATAAATTTTCTATACCCGTTTGTAGGTTACTTTTCCTTATATTTCTTATTGTAATTGGAATGGTTATGTTATGTGTACAAATACTTATATGTATACATGTATATGTATCTATCTATAGGCTGCGTGATTTGTGGCTTGGCCAAATTAAAGCTGTCTAAATAAAAGTTTGTATAAGTTGTTTATGTGCCAAATATAGCAACCAAAACATTGATATTTATACAGTTCGAGCAGAAGAAGAAGAACAGGAAGAGATATATGGAGTATGCTTAAAATCTTAATAAGCTATAAGAATGAAAATTGAGATTATTTTATGGATGAAATGAGTATCATTCAGAAAAGTTTTATTCACTCAACTTTCATTTTGCATTTCTCCATTCTCATTTGTCTTTTATGAGGTGAAATAAATGTTGATGTAGACCAAGTTAGGGTGCGGGTGCTATAAGCTATCATTTTTAGTTAATTTGTAGTGTGAGTAATTAAATTTTTAACTGCCCTGAAGCGAAGGTCTGTGAAGTGTAAACGCGTCCGGCTAAGTTTGTGTGAATCGGATTAAATGAAAAATATTTGGACCTTTTGAAATATTTAAATATATTTA